ATTAGTTACGTATAAATTAATTATAGCGGGATAGCGTAATCCAACATACTCCAATACTTTAGGTATTTTAATAAATTATTAGAACTTTTAATTGCTACATATCAATTTATCCTTTTGYTTTATTGGCATTTCTTTTTTTACCCTGTTCTATCATTGCTATTTTTAATGAAGTTTTTGATTGAGTTTCAATTAGAGTTTTGATAACAATATATATTTCTGGATGAGAGCTATAAAATTGCCTATTAAATGTCCCACGAAAGCTTTCAGCAACATTGATAGTTCTAGARATTTAAGTCTAGTCATTCTCTCGTATATCTGGTATCTAAKTTACAATAATAACATCTAGTTAATCTGATAAACGTCCGATAAATGTTAAAAATCAACTGTATCAATCGTTCAGTCAAAATGGTATAACRTTCGATTGCCGATTATCGTGCTCAAATTATTGTTCGATTAAATTTGGCAACGTTGGAAAAAAAATATCAAACGTCCTCAATCGTATTACCATAAATAACGTTCTCAATTATTTTTTATCGGGGATGTGTCCATATGAACACACCTTGTTTTATTTCGTGGAGTTTCGTGTGCACCCTAATATCTTTATTAACTATGTTTTATATGGAAAATATATTAGGTATTAGGTTACAATTATCAAAAATATGTCTATAATTTAACATAATATGTATGAAAATATTTGAAAATTTATTCCGTATTTAAGRCAAAATTGGACAACTGAAAATAAAGTAATAAATATCATATGATGAGATAAAAAAAAAAAATGGGTAGAAAGCGTCCGCACCAAAAAATGTATCGGAAGATGTCCATAATATTAGTATATTACACTGAAAACAGTTTAGTGAGAAATATCCGCGATTAATGTATTATTAAAATATCTTTTACATAAATACCAAATAGTCAAAAGTACCTAACCAATTTCGCGTTATGATTTTATTTTTACTCATAAGTCAGAACTCATAAAATAATATTTTCTTTTGTAATCGTTTTAAATTATTAATTAAAAAGTTTATAAATTATTTTTATATCAAATTATATTTTTTTTCACGACCGCCTGCCGCACATAATACAAATATGGAATAAGTCTACCGGAAGTTCTTATCGGCAGAGTAAGGTACTCCGTGCTATATATAAGTATATATGTACTCACTCCTATATTCAACTGCTGCCGATATAAATGTATAATATATTACAATCGATGTGTGGAATAGCGCGTAGTGGTCTGGAGACGGTTAAATTTATGACGATATAACCTGAACAATTATTTATGTCTGAAATTTATATGCATTAATATTATTGTAACTTGTAAGCTGTTATTGAGTGATTATTTTCTGTAGTGATAATTCTCTTATTTACTTAAAAATATAATGCTTTTAAATTTAAGTAGGTAATAGAAATAWTTTTTTTWWAATATTATTTAATTTTTAAAATCCAAATGGCAAACACTTAATATCTTGTAATTTATTGTAATATTTTTAATTTAATCATTAATCACGAGTTCTGAGCTATCATATTATTAGGTAAACTTCAAACCTGGACACTTTTATTGCGCAACAATTGTCGGCCAATTAAATCCTTTTTACAACAATTAGACATCGGTTTTTTCTTTGTCATTACATCATCCACTTTATCAATGGCAATCTGCATCCATTTATTCGTATACATTGTATCTACTCGTTCATCCAAAGAATTAATCCGACGGGCTACAATTTTTAACCAAGACATGGTAAAGACGCAATCATTTTGTAATACCCATCGTCCGATATTATTAATTTTTTTTGAATCAGTAATGACCTAAAGAAACAATAAAAATAATGTCACTATAAAGCAATTATAGGTAGTATAATATATTACTATAAAATTAATCATAAAATGTTATTGTATCAACAATAAATCATGATATTATAATTATAATATGGTTTTATAGAGTAAAG